CATTTCCACTTAGCCCTGATTCATAATCTTTTTCATACATACCGGGTGGCGGGTACAAGGAAATAGTGCAAGCTACAAATTATTGGTGCACTAAAGTTAGAATTTTCAACCCAGCTTTTCAAATACGCTGTAGTACTAAACTCCACAAACACCATATTTTTTACACACAATGATTCACTTACTACACGGCAAACACGTATGACGTTGCAGCAGACACGACGCTACTTACAACGAGAGTCGGTGTACTACGTAAGGCGAAAAACAAAAACTGGTGTTGCCCTTTTTGCGTTATACGGAGTCTACGCGACCCGCGACGAGGCGTTTGGACGTTTGGTGTTTCTCCGAGTTGCAGAGGGCTTCATAGGGCGTTCTTACCCCGATTTCTGTGCATTATCGGCGGTCATGAAACTGAACCGCCTGCGGAACCTCTCTACCTGCGGCAAACGCGGCTGTATACGATCTCGACGACCAGGACGAGCGCGGCCGTGACGTAGCCGTGGGCGAGTAGCAGGAAGGCCGGCAGCACCTGGGCGAGAGAGAGGGGCCGCGACAGCTGCTCGCCCTCCGCGGCGCCGCGGGAGCCGTGCACGTCCAGCCTCTGCTTCTTGTCGATGGTCGAGACCATGTGCGCGTGGAGGCCGTGCTCCCGGACGAGGAGCGCCAACCTCGCGGCTCGCTGTTGCAACGGCGAGGCGGTGGTGGTCGTGATGTGCGCGGCCAGGTAACTGCGGCCGAGGTCGAACCGGTGGAGCCGTTTGGGGCTGGCGTGCAGGTACGGCGCCAAAAGGATCTCGGCGCTCATGTCCCCCTGAATGACCAGGGCAGAGTTACGACGGTCAGCCACGTCCCGCAGCACCGCGTCGAGACCCATGACATCGACGTAAGTCATACGGGCTCGCAGCGCGTTCGGCAGGTACACCTTGGAAATCGTGTACAAATCACCGGTTACTCGCACGTCCAGCCCGCTCTGCTCGAGCTGCTCCAGGCTGTTGATCTCCCCCGGTGGCGCGGTGAGCTCCCTGAGCAGCAGGCCCTGGTAGGCGGCCGCGAGCACCACGCTCATGAGCAGCCAGACGGCGGACAGGGGCCGGTGCGCGGTTCTGCCGGGGGCCGCCTGAGCCAGCAGCGGGGCCAGGGTCTGCAGCAGGGCGTCGGAGAGGGCGGACGCCAGCCGACGGCCCAGGGTCACCCTGGTCACCAAGGCCGTGGCCGCCACGACCGCGAGCACCGTGACGACCGTCGCGCACCACAGCTCGACGGAGAACTCGTCCGTGACCGCCTGCAGGAAGGGCGTGCGGTCCAGGCCGGCGGGGACGACCACCTGCACGGACATGATGGCGAAAGAGGCGTACCGCACCTCGGGCGGCATGTGCGCCAGGATCGGGAAGGCGCGGATAAACGAGAAGGCCGCCGGAAGCGAGCAGGCGCGTGTTCTGTCAACTATGTCGAGGACGGCGTCCACGCCCGCCACCCACTCGACGCGCACCGACTTGCCCAGGGCGTTTGCCATTGTCACCACGAAGTCTTTGTATGCCTCGACCGCCACGTCGTGATGGGGCCGTATGGCGACGACGACCTGGGGCGAGGGCGAGGGCGCGGGCGGCGCGCGGTCGCCGCTCCAAGTCGAGCAGAGTGTTGTGAACGGCGAGGCTCGCCGCAGCCAGCGTCCGTCTGTCGGCGACCACCGGTCGATCTCGGTCACGTCAACCTGCAGCTTCGTGCTCGTGGTGAGCGAGAACAGGACCGTGCCGCCGCCGTGTCGGTCGGAGACGGCCAGGGCGATCTCTCTTACTATCAGCCGAGGGACGCTGACCACCCCGCGCAGGAGCACGCCCAGCGCGCCGCGATCGTGCTCCGCCCAGGTCCACAGCAGCATGGGCGAGTGCGTCGGGAATTGGGACTCCTCGAAGCCGGCCACCGTGGCCGCGAGCTGGGCCCAGCTGTCCTCGGCTATCAGCGCCACGCTCGGAGTGGATTGCAGCGCGCAGAAAGTGCGGCTGCTGACGTTCGTCGAGGACAGCAGCGACCTGGGCGTCTCCGCGGGCAGCTCACCGAGGAACGCGCCAAGGCCGTGAGCGCTGCCCAGGACGAGGACGTCGAACTGCTTGGCCTTGTCGCGGGACGGCTGGGACGCCAACAGGACGGCCAACCCTTGCGAGTCGAGGGGTGGCCTCGGCCCCGGCAGGACGGCGTCGGACGCCCCGGGACACACGAGGAGGACGACGATGGCGAGCATCTTCATGGCGCGCTACTGGAGGGGAAGTATGGACGTCGCCGTGGCCGTAGGCCCTTCGCCGCGGCCCACTGCCGTCCTCTTATCATACGGACCCTATGGAACCCTTCACCCTCAGGGCCTTTCATGGCCAGGGCGCTGCGACCGTCGTGTTCCGCTGAATAGAGCTTTCAACATATATTTCTGACGAATAACCTCCCCCTCCCGCCCCTTGTGTGCGGTCGAAACCGCTGTCATTTGCCCGCATTTTTGACAGCAAGAGCCATCCAATTTCGCATAGAAAATCACTCTACTTAACGATGACGTCGTAACCACGCCCCGGGGGTGCGGCGGTTTTGATTTGACTGTACTCCGTCCACTGAAAACCTTTGAGTAAGGTGTTGTGCTCAAAAGGAGTGAGACAATTATTTTGCCTCGCTCAATCAGAGCGATGACTAAAAGGCTACCTTATTATTTGAGTCAAATGTATGCACCGAATTCTCCTGCTCTAGCATTTTCAGTGTCTGCCTGTAAGTCGCCGCTGCGGCCCCACACAGTTGTTACACAAAGTATAGTTCGTGCGACAAATAAATGTTGCTTGAACCAAAACGTATGGAGGCGCTCTGCTGGAGCCTGTGCTGCAGGCTGCGCCTACTGAAGGCTGCGGCTGGAGGCTGTGGCTGGAGCTGGAGGCTGCGGCTGGCCTCACACGGTCTATGGCGTGGCATTGTCTCCTGAGGGGCGAGAGCCTATAACAATAACGGAAGTGGATATTATATTTTCAGTTCCGAGCTAAACGATCTGCTCGGCTCGGCTCGGCTCTGCTCGGCTCTTGCCGGATGTATCGCACGGATCAAGTGCTAACCGCTGCACGCTGCATCAATGAGGCACAGCTTTTCACTTTATTGCTACATATACTCGAGAGTGCGCTCCTTGCTGCTCGGGTACAGAGGAGAGGGACGGGGAGAAGGGAGAGGGGGGGGGGTGCAGCGGTAGTGCAGCGTCGCGGTGTCGCGGCGAGTACTATACAATGCGAAAGGGGGGGGGGGGAGAGATTTCGAGAGCAGAGCCTCGACGTGACGGGAGCAGCGCCGCGGTTCCCGGGGATAAATATAAATGTTAAGATCTTTTGTTTCTTACAACTTTTTATGATTAAGTAAGAGCAGGAAAAAAATAAAGTCGCAATGTCATAGAGTAGCTTGTTTGGGCTGCGGGTAGTATTAGGTATATTGAGATTAAAGCTGAGAGTAGCTTATCGGGCTATCACTACTGCTTCTCGTAAGGGGTGCGTCATCATGCCGGCCAATCGAGTAGTTTTATATACCCGGCACCCGGTGCTGCGATAAAGCCAAGTAGCTTCTGCACGATTAAAAACTTTGTACTCCTTTCATTAAAAAAACCAAAAACGTTTTAAAATGTTTATTTTTTTTTCTGCAAACAGAACAATTCTTTTCGAAAAATATTTGCGATGATTATAATATATAGAAACATGGGACAAAAGCGTTGAGCGTGAACAGTGTGGACAGCATGTTGTGTTACGCCTCCGTTGTCCTATAGTACAGTGCGGGGAAAACTGCTTGCGTAATCATCAGCAAATGCTCCTCCCTGTTCGCAGCAGACCTTTTCCGTGTAAATAGCAGCCGGGTTGGGCCGGTGGCCGGTGTGTTCTGCCCAGAGAGACAAGAGAGACAATGGCGTCTGCCTCCACCACAGCCCCCGTTGGCGTCGCGGGGGGCGGGGGAGGGGGGAGCAGCTAAGCCCCTGCGAGCGGGCGGCCGGGCCGCGCCGCGCGCCAGGGGGGCCCAGCGGGCTGCCTACCCGCGGCTCCACGGGCGCTCCCGGCCGGCGCCGAGCGGGGACCTCCAGAGGGGGGCCCGGGGCAAGGGGG